ATTATCTATTTTCTCATGATCATATTCAGATTATGCTTTTTTGGAAGAAACGACAGAGAAGCCATTCTGGTTATTAAGTCCCTCTGAATGCATTGTATCAGGTGGCATAATCACGTCTATTTGCCCCGTTACTGCTGAGCTTAACTTGGATCATGCAATTAACCTGGTTTCAGGAAGGTTTCTTCACTGTAAAATTACTATTCCCCTTTGCAATTAATACGTTTTATAGTGAAATACTTTGAGAATATGCAAATCCTGTTCTCATCAAACTTTTACCTTCTAATTTTAGTATCCACTGATGCCTCTTGCCAGAAACAATATGTAGTGCTTGCCAAACGTTGATCTTCTAATTCTGTCATTCCTTCTATATTTATCTGTTGGAATTCTACCATAGGGAAGAGCTTTCCCTTCTCTCCCATTTACTTATATATTTATTTACATCAATATAGATTCATAGATTCTTATTTTATTTAATGAGTTGTCACCTATTACCATCATTATTTTGATACCTAACTAGTCCCAGATTTAGGCAGTGGGAACCCCTACAAGCTGGTTCCTTTTATTATGCCCTCACTATTCTCTGAGCACTTCTTGCTTTCTGGCATAAGATGTTCCAAGCTTATTACGTATTTTCCCATTCATAGTCCTAGAATCAGCCATTTCTCCATTTCTCCAAGCAGCCCTGGTTCTTTTTGATGAAGTTAGCTAGTGGTCTGTCTATTAATTAAAACATAAATTATTAGTAGTACTAAATTAATACTGTATTTTCAATCCGTGGTTTGTTGAATCCACTGATGCCGAACCTGTGGATATGGAAGGCTGACTGTAATTGTCTTTTTCCTCTCCTGACCTCGTTACTTTCTGCTTTTATCTTTATTTTATTCCTTGTGCTTTCTTTTGGTTTCTTTTGTCCTTTTGCTATGCTTGGACTTATATCTTTTTGGACTTCTGTTTTTATTGATATGTGTTTCAGGCTATGAATTTATCTGATCGCTCTTTTTTAATGTATCCCATAGTTTCTA